TATACAACGCTGATAAGTTGACAAAAGAGCCACTTGTTTAGAAAATTTTGGAGCCTTGAAAGTTAAACAATAATGTGTGACGGAAAATTCAAAAAGTCAAGTAAATGATCAAAGTGCTGCCCGCTAACTTGCATATAGTGATACAAGTTATCTTCAAACCATTGTTGTATATTTTGGAGCATTTGCGTTGTCACTTCGCGACATTCGTTAATGATTCTTCTTCGCAACTCCTCTAATATGCCAGATGCAGTTTTGAAAACTACACTTTTTGTGTTTCCCGACAAAAAAAAATCTAAAGAACTTAAGTCGGGTGACCGAGGTGGCCACTCAATTGCGCCCCTTCGTCCTATCCATAGTCCTGGAAATGTGTCATTTAAATAATTGCGCACATTTAATGCGGCGGAGCTCCGTCTTGTTGCAAAAATCAGTTCCTCTTCGTTGTATGCGGGGACCTTCTCTATGATATTGGCTAGAGTTAGGTTAAAAGCATTTTTCAGTTAAATTTTTAGGAAGGAAAAACGACCTACAATGGAATTTACAAAAATACCAGCCCATACATTTAACTTCTCGGGGTGTTGTGTGTGTATCTCGTGGAAAATCTTTGGATTGCTGTCAGCCCAGTAACAGCAATGGTGGCGATTCACTAAACCATATAGGAAGAAAGAACATTCATCCGAAAAACACACATTAAATAGTAAGTTATCATTTTTCAACGTCAAGTCTTCATTCGGTTCATGCACTAAGCGAATTTTATAAGGATGAGATTTGTATTTTTTTTAATACCTGTTGGACACTTGTACGAGACACATCCGTCGCAATGGTCAATTGTCTTGTACTCAACGTTCTATCCACTGTAACTTGCCTAAATAGTGCTATCTCCGTAGGTTAATTTAAGACTGGATTTTCAATGTTCCTCTTTTTGTTGTGAACCGAACCTGTTTTGCGAAATTTTTCCAATAATTCGAGAACAATTTTTCCAGAGAGATGTTTATCAGGATGCCGTTGGTTAAACAATTCTGCGACCCAATTTCCACACTCCCTGTTTTAAAAAAAAAAAAAAAATAAGTAATTTCCATTCATTCTACAATTGAGTATAACATAATTGATAATTGTAATATACAAAATGACAATGACACTGAAACACTAACCATAAGACAGGTATCTAGCAAATGCTTTAACTTAAATGTAAAGAAAAAACCCGATAATTTTTTACCAACAAAGAAGAGCCTAAAAGATCTGCAAAGGCGGTAAAAACAGCCAATTAATTTATAAAAATATCAATATAGCAACAAATATTTTAGTGTTTCGAGTTAATGAAGTGTTTACTTTTAAATAATAATAATATTAATAATAATTAATGTACTTTCAAAAATACGGAAAGGTTTTAAGTAAAATTAAATCGCTTTTTGTATTTCCGTCACACATTATTGTTTAATTTTCAAGGCTCCATAATTTTCTAAACGAGTGTCTCGATTTTTAAAAACTCAACAGGCGTTGTATAGTGAATGACATTTATAATGAGGTATCATTTGACTCCCCTTCCCCTTTCAAACAATTTGGGGGATGTCACCCCTACTAAAGAGGGTGAAGGTTTTACGATGCTTCTTGCGTCATAAGGTGTCCCCTTGACAAACGTTACTTATTTTCGAATTTCACCGAAAAATTCTTTTCCACCCTGTAATACGTTTTCGATGGGGCACCCTGAATACTTATTCTACACCAACATGTATATTATTTACTTCCGTTCAAGCTACAGAACGAGTAAGTAAGCGATATCAGTTATAACTATATATAAATTTTAGTAAGGATACGAAATCCATCAATTACATTTTATATTTTAGTGTCCCAGTGAGAATTATTTTTTTAATTTTAAATTAGTGATAGGTTGTCAAACCAATTGTCAGTATTAGTCATTCCAACGACCTGTCCAAATGGCTACCAGTGGGTAATGACAGTTTAGATATGGCAACCCTGTTATCATGTTGACATTTATAGGGTCAATGATACATATATAGTTATATAGATTGCTCAAAGCTGGTCGTTTGCGAGCGGTCATATTGCCTGGCAAATATTTATTAATTTGAATCGGTTTAGCAAAAATGTCTATTTCATTGACCTTGTCAAATCACCAGGCCTACAGGGTTGCCATAATTTTGCCATATCATAACCTGTCAAAACCCACTGGTAGCCATTCAGTTTGGAATGCCTAATATAGTCTCTCAGCTGACTGCAAAAAGTGACACATTGCCTTTTTTGTTGGCTATTTGTAGTTAGGTACAGGAGACCCAAGTAAAATTGTTAGGAGAAACAAGTTTTATTAATGTTTTATTAGGATTTTGTAAAGGCATAAACATTAATAATTATTTTATAACAGTTATTTTTTTACGACTAATTACAGCGATAACAGTTTTCAAAAACACAAAGGTGAGTACATAAGGCTTTCTCATAATTGATGTTTATTGGACAAAAACTATTATCGGATTTCTTACTTACTGGGTTTGCAACCTAAAATGTAACAAAAATATTTATTAAGAATGTTAAAAACTATACTACTTTTAACCCTGAACTGGTATTGTTGGGTCAATTTTGACCCAGAGCGATTTTAGGCGCAAATATTTAGATAACTAAACGAAATACATTTTTGAGACTGCGTGTATTCCTCGAGGGTCTGACGTACTTACGAGTGTAGTGTTCACGCGTCAGTTGCCATTTGCTATCTTCCCGGTACGTACCGTTCGGGTCAAATTTGACCCAACGATACTAGTTACGCGGCCCGTTTGAAATATTGTCTCGTGTTGAAAATGAATCGTCCTCTAACTGAAGCCGCGTTGGAAGACATTATAAACAATTTATCCGACTTCAGTGATAATGAAGCACCACTGGAAAACGAGTTTCAAGAGAGTGATAGTGATTTCAGTGATAGAATTATTGAGAGATTTGAAAGTGAGACTGATACAGAATCAGAACATGATGATGATGATGATCAACTATTTGGCAGCGAAGAAGATGTAGGAGCGTACTTCTTTGGAAAAAATAGATGTAAGTGGTCCAAGAGTCCTCCTGCAAGTTCTAGAACAAGAGCTGAAAATATGATTCTTCACCTTCCGTGGCTGAAAGGACCTGCTGCTAACAACATACCCACTACACCTTATGAAGCATGGTCTCATTTGGTGACTGATAATATACTTGATATAATTGTAGAGCACACTAATCGTAAAATAACCGACGAATCTCACAAGTACGGAAATACTTCTACTTTCGTAGGTCATACAGACAAAGTTGAAATAAAAGCCTTGTTGGGCTTGTTGTATCTATCTGGAATTTTCAAATCAGCCCACGAAGATGCAGAAAATTTGTGGGCTACACATGGCACGGGACGAGACATCTTTAGACTTACGATGTCTTTGAAAAGATTCCTTTTCATACTTATAGTGATACGTTTCGATGATCCTGATACAAGAGAAGCTAGAAAAGCTGGTGGTGATAAGTTAGCCCCAATATCTGAAATTTTCCAGAGCTTTATAGAAAACTCCAAAAGTAATTATAATAGCTATAGGTACGTAACTATTGATGAAATGTTGGTGGGATTCAGAGGCAAATGTGGCTTCCGTGTATATATAAAAAGTAAGCCCCAACAATATGGTCTAAAAATTTTATGCCTGTGTGATTCAAAAACACACTATCTGCTAAATGCATTTGTCTACACCGGCAAAAATCCAAATGTTGTGAATCCAAGACATCTTTCTATACCTACGATGACTGTTTTGGAGCTGATCACACCTATAGCAGGGAGTAATAGAAACGTCACAGGCGACAATTGGTTCACATCCCTGGAACTCTTACAAGAACTGAAAAAACATAAATTGACGTATGTTGGTACTATTAGAAGAAACAAGCGGGAAATTCCTAAAGAATTCTTGGCTAATAGACACCGTGAAGTGAATTCGTCATTATTTGGATTTACACGAGATACTACCTTAGTATCATATGTTCCCGCAAAAAATAGAAGCGTATTACTGGTTTCAACTTTACATCACGATAAAATAACAAAAAGTGACCAAACAAGAAAACCAGAAATTATTGACTTTTATAATACAACAAAAAGTGGAGTAGATTCCCTTGATCAAAAATGTGCAGTGTTTTCATGTAATCGCAGAACCAGGCGATGGCCACTTGCAATATTTTATGCAATATTGAATATAGCCGTTGTAAACAGTCATGTATTGTTAAACTTTGCAGTTAATAATTTGAAAATGTCGAGAAAATCATTTATTAAAAACTTGGGACTGTATTTAATTGAGGAACATATGAGGCGACGATATGAAAATCAACATCTGCCTAAGGAGTTAAGGCAAAAAATTAAAGCCTTTCTAAAAATTCCAGATCCCGCAGTTGAGCGAGACGAGCCGCCACTGAAAAGAAGACGATGTAAAGAGTGTCCATCTACAATTGACAGAAAACATGCTACATATTGTACAACATGCAAAAAAACCTTTTGTAAGGATCATTTGCATCAACAAAATTTTTGTAATGAATGTAAAGATTTTAATAATTAGTTTTATAGCCTCCTTATTGGTTCCTAAAAAGCCCTCGTTAGATTTTTGTTTGGGCATTTTTTGTAACGTTTTTTTATTTTCCCAGTGTGTTTATATCATGTTTTTTCTAATCAGGCATATTTTAATGGTGTTTATGTCAAAAGAAAAATTATTTTGTTAAAAACCTTGAATGATGTTTTTTTTAATACATATTTTTTATTTTCGTGTTTATGTATTTAAAAATTTGAATAAATTTCAGTTTTCTTAATTTGTAGGTTTGTTTCCTTTAAAGTAAGAAATTAAAATACACTAAGTCAAAAAAAGTGTAACCTCCCCTCTTAAATTAGGGCTGGGTCAAAATCGACCCAACAATACCAGTTGTGTAGCCTAGAAATCACCATACCAGTTCAGGGTTAAATCTCGTTTTTAATGATTTTAATTTATACTAAATATTATTAATTATAGGAAAGACCTATGCAAACCCAGAACCAGCTGACTTATGCATATCACAAAATACCGACGAAGATAGAGACGACTCTATAGCTGACAGTGGACTTTAGTCCAAATTTTGATAATCTGATAACGATTCTCATTTGAATCTTGAACCACATTCAAAATGCAGATGGGCGACAGTTGATATAATAGGCATTGACACCCAGAATGAACGTGGTACAGAGATTGAGAATAAACTTGACGAAAATTAAGACAATGTCTTGCTGTCTATTGCTAGTAAGAATGAATGTTTTTTTCTTTTGACTATGGAGGTGGCCAATTTTATAAAATTTTAGCTGATGGAGGTAATCGGAAGATAAATAGAAAAATGCAACGAGAACTGAAAATAAATGGACTAAAATACGTGAATAAGAAAAAAACTATACCAGCAAAAGAATATTATTGAAGTATGTTGCCAAGCAAAATGCCATACAGTCTGTCCACCTACCACTTAAGTAGAACTATTTGGATGTTTTTATAAATTAACAAAAGAAGCATAGGAACATATTATTTTAAATCGAATCTCATTAGTCAAAAAAAAAAAAACGGAACGGAAAGGATGCTCTAAAACAGGAAGGAAACATTTCAGAGATATAACGGCTATATACCAAATAAAGATTGATAACAAACTTGTTAAAGTCTCTAAAAAAATGTTTCAGTGTGTTTATGGACTTTCTAGGGGAAAAATTGATGTTTTTGTCATGAAAGTGAAAGCTTTCAATGGACCGTTATTACCTCTTGGAGATATGCGTGGGCATCACGAGCCAAAAACAAAATGACAAAACAATGTGAAGCAATGAGATAACACATAGAGAAATATCCAAAGTATGACAGTCATTACACTCGGAGAGACACCATCAAAAAGTATCTGTAAAGTCATCTTAATATAAGGAAAATATATAAAGAATATAAACAAGATTGTGATTTTTCTGGCAGAATGGACTATGGATCGTACAGCATGTTTACAGAGGAGTTTAGAAAAACTGGTTACAAGTTTAAGCAACCCAAAACGGATACTTGCAAAACATGCGATTCTTTTGTGCTCAACTTGAAACAGTGCAAGAATCCAGAAGAGAATGCAAAATATCAAAGTGACTATGAGTTTCACACAAAATTGGTTGATGATGGTTATGAGCAGAAATGGCTGGACAAAGAAAGTTGTATTTGCGATGCAAGAAGAATTGTACTCGTTTTTGATTTACAGCAAGTTCTTGATACCCCATCACTGACAGCTAACATATCATTTTATAAACGCCTTTTGTCAACCTACAACCAGACAATACGTGACTGCTCTCAAGATGTCGGTACAGAGTGTTACATGTGGCATGAAGCAATTGGTCGAAGAGGTTCTGAGCAAATAGCATCCTGTTTATTTAAAAAGCTTCAGTGTATTGCTGATTCGGTTTCGCATGTTATTACATATTCAGACACCTGTGGTGGTCAGAATAGAAATATAAACATGGCTATTATGTTTAGCTACGTTGCAACTTTTCACAAAAATATTTCCTATATTGACCAGATATTTCTTATTTCTGGACATACTCATCTTGAGTGTGATGCAGACCATGCTAGAATTGCAAGAGCAAAGAAATCCTACAACTTTCCAATATTTTTTTTTTCTTAAAAGGGTTTTGGCTTTGGTAATCGTTCCAATAATGGTCCCCAGAGATTGGTACACATTTGTGGCATCAGTCACAGGCAAAAAGCATTTCACAGTTAAAAAAATGACTCAAAAAGACTTTATTTCATTTTCTAAGTTTTTAACAACTCATTTATTTAAAAGAAATTTAGATACAGAAAACGAAAAATTTAATTGGCTATACATTGATGGCTGCTATATGAGAAAGATTTTGAAATTATAAAATTTAAACGGTTCATTTCAGAGGACGAGCCATTCAGAATTTTAAACTTACGGCGTACACGACAGTCAAGTTTAAACAGATTGGGAAAGAAACCCCAGTTGGATAACAATGACTTGAGGCTACCTAGTTGTTGCTACAATAAATCACTTGCAATAAATACCTTAGAAAAGAAAAATTTGATTAGTCTTATTAAAGAGAAACTCATTGATGAAGACGATTTTTACTATAATCTGCAGACATCTGAAGAGACACCTGAGTTGGCATTTTTGGACGATGATAGTGACCCAAACGAAGAAGACCAGTAGTATACTTTGTATTTTTTAATGTTAGAATATTTGAATATGTTTAATGTGTCCTAATTAAAATAAACCATATTTTTCCTAATTTTTAGTGATTTTTTTCTTTGTTATGTCTGAAATATACCTGAAAATACATAATAGCAAAACTTGATATATCAGTAATTTTTATAAAAAAATTAAGTAATAATCAAATATCAGTAAGGACTTTCTACCTTTCAGTTCAAGTAATATCTCTACAAAAAATCACAACAAATAAACTTTGCAGAGTGTTGCTGAGCTCTATAACAACAAATTTTAAAATAGCTCTCCTGTAAAATTAGCCAAAAGTTATATATCAGTTTCTGCCTTGTCACCACAGAATTAGGCCTATCCATTAATTCATAATTAGGCCCTTATTTATTGCAAGCATTAAGATTGTGTTTTTTATTAGGCAAACAGAATTGCATCATCAATTTTTGCATTAAAAAGAGCGAGAATGCTGCTAAATTCTAAATTAAATGGCAATGGTTTAAGCGAGCTTGTTTATCTAAGGTGCAAGCACGCACTGCTACACAGTAATTATTGGTGTACTTTCCTGTAAATCACCTTCAGCTGCAATAATAGTTGCAACCAAAAAAAGACTTTAAACAGACAATAACAGGAACAAAAAATGTAAATATACTTCCATAATGTAAAGTTTTAAAACCTTTTGTGTGTTTTAGAATATGATATTTAGTCAGTTCCGAATTATTACTACAGACATTTTTTGTAATCAAGACTTTCCCATAATAATTTGGCAACTATGTGGATAATACCGTGAATGCTTGCAATTTCGTTTTTATAAACAAAATTAGTCTAGTAGTTGTTCGTCGTTGGTTTGTTATCAAATGTAATATTTATAAATTATAGTTTAAAATAACATATCCAACCTGTAGGATACCATATTAGAAATTCAAATAGTAATTTTTTTAAATACTTCTGTGCAATGACTTTTTAATTCCGTCCGAATAGCTAAATAAGTAGTATCACTGTGCACCACCCTCATTTTTAACACTTAATATTCTTGACAAATGATGCCGTTGGATTTTCAATTGTTGCTCCGCAAGATCATTATTTATCACTTCCAACGCCTCCTATCATTAATTCACCCCCATCTTGATGTTCTTCTGTTTCTCGATTGTAACTTGTAACAATTATTATTCTTCCCGAATTGCCCCGGAATTTAACATATTTTATACGGTAATTGCTAATTAGGTAATTAGCCCGTTGAACGAATTGTATTAAAATTGAAGCCGGTTTAATTGGGAAATTAATTAAAGTTCGAGGTTAACGAGGACTTCCGATTAAATGGGTAAAAAAGAGACTGACAATTAGTGTATTCATGATGTAATTTAGAAAATATAAAACATTAAAACATTTTCGAAGCTACTTAATTTTCATTTGTGACCTAATATTAACTATGTGTCAATCAAAAATTGCTGTTTTCGAGTTTTGTTATTTTGTCCAATCCCAGACAGGGTTCAGTTTAATTTAATTCAAATAGTATCTGGGATCCAGTATCAAAAATTTAATTTTAAATGTAAAACAGTTGTTTTTTGTACAAACTATCTATATAAATAAAAATATATCTGATTGACAGTATTGTTTACCAGAAGTACACCAACCAAATCATCGTCCAATTGTAAAATCCATCAACTTCACTACACATGAAATTTTAAAAATCTGATGTGTTCAACACATGACTTTTTTCCGGTTATTTTGTACAACATATTGCAGCACCTCTATAAATGTTTAAAGGATAAACTAAATATATACATTTTCCACATACATCTAACTAACTAATTTTCTATAGATATTCATTCAAAACGAAAATACTGAAAAATATAAATTTAGCACTTTTCCATTACGGTCCATTTAAGAAAAATCATGTTAAAACAAAAATTATAGAGATCGATATCGCAAACAACTTTTAGTTTAACAATTTTCTTAAATTTCAGGAAAATTTGACGTAAAGCAAAAATTATAGATAATAATATCAGAAGTAACTTCTGTTTGAACAATTTTCTTCTCCAAACATAAATAACAGATATATTCGATAAAATATAAGAACGGCCTCCCATAGATGTTCCAACTTTGTCCAAAATCTAATATTTCACGTCAGGCCGAAATAAAACTTATCCTTTATCCGTTTTTGAGGTTTCTTCAAAATTCGAAATATACACATTTTCTCAAATATCTCGAATACGGTCTATTTTAGAGAAATTATGTATGAAATAAAAATTATATAATATTACATTACAAACAACTTTTATTTAAACAATTTTTATAAAAAATAAATTTTTATATTTTTAATCTTTGTGATGTAGGTATACAGAACACAGTGAGATGATGCAGTCCCTATAGTTATATTATTTAAATGTTTATATATAATTGACAAATAAACATTATTATTAATATTATTATTTTTAGATAGCTACTTTATTTTGAAAATTAAATATTTTGGGTTTGATGTTAATTTCAGTAGGTAATCAATTTAAGTAGTCATATTTTTATGTTGTTTTTTTACTTTAAAATATGTATATATCAGTCAAAAATAGTTTATTTTTTATTTACAATACACATCATAGTTATACCTACTAAAAATATGTCAAATGTCTCCCCACTCCCCTATGTACTTTTACAAATGAGTCAAGAAATAAAATATATTATTTATAAAAATTGAAGGTCTATAGTCAGCCTTAAAGTTACTATGGATCATTATAATTTAACGTTTATTAGCAAAAGTAAAAATATGCAATAAATTATTTTTAACAATTCAATATAGACTACTGAATAACTCAAGTAGGTACCACACAATTAGACTGATAAAACCTTGCACATTAAAAATAAAAGTTTAAACATTTATACAATTAAACAATAGTTAAAAAA